CCGAGGCGTCCATTTTCTTTAGCAGTACCCAAATGGGCGAGGTCCATGGTGAAATACTTGGTCTTATAATTTTTTGATTAAGCATCTTATTAATTTGTGTTTCTACTTCTTTTTTATGCATGAACGGATACCTATAAGACTTCGTATATACAGGGCGTTCATTAAAGGTTCTAATTGAATGTTTAATGTTGCTAGTGAATGTTAGAGTCGTATTTTCACGATGGAAAATGTCTGAATATTTTTTGCATAAATTCAGTATTGCACTTTTTTCTTCATAGTTTAGATGGTCAGTGCGAATTTGAGAAGGGTCGAATTTGGGTTGTGGACAATTAGTATCGAAATTATTAAGTTCGATATTTTCGAAATTTGTGAAATCAAAATTTTCTACTTTAAATGGTTCTGATATATCCAGTGTTATCGGTTGGCATGTATTATTTCAAACAGTTGCTAACGCATAACCGTTTCTTGCAATCGTCAGACAACTTGTAGCATTTTCAAATTTGTGATAATGATTTATTAATAATTATAACTCAAAGTAATGCTATTTTTTTCTGGTTTGATTTGTTTGAATGCAACTGTAACCTTTTCATGGTTATTTTGCTATAAAAGTTTTCGAGCGGTTTTAAACTATTTCTTTCTCAGTAAAGAATAACTATTTTGTTTATTAGTTTTCATTTATTTTGAAAGTAAAGCATTAACATTCTATCTTGTTATTGTTTCATTAGTTTTTTTTGGATAAATTATATGTTGACAAAAATTCATTGAAAATTCCAAGATCTCATCTTTCCTTTTCATAATTCACTTTGGCTTTCAATTAGGTAATAAGTTGTTTTGTCTTGGCTATCTTCTGGATGTTGGGTTGGTAGTTTTCTAATGTTTTTCTGGAAAATAAAAGGATTATTAGAAAGTGAACACACATAGGTTGGGTATTTTATTATCCAAATTTTGATTGCAACATACCTTGTCTTGTTTCGTCTAATTATTCCTGCTATGATCATCTTAATTTTCCCGTTGTTTTCATCATGGTTTTGTTTGGAAAATGGAAATTAATTTTCTAATTTTCTATACTTTCAGGTTGTGTTGTTTTGACATTCCGCTCTCCTCTTCTTGTCAATTTTATTGTATTTTTATTTTCTATCTTTATCTTTCATCTGTCGTTTAATTATTCATGGGCAGTGGACTCAATACCGGAATGTGTTGATTTGTTTATTTTGGTCATTTGCGGTTCCATTTCTTGGTAGTCGATTTATTGTCTCTTTTCTTCTCCTTTATTGGAGAGAAGTATAAAATATTGGGTGCGATTCTTGTTTTTATAAATCAAAAATCCGAAGGGTCGAAAGGGAAAATTTCGGCATGCTCGTTCTTTTTTGGCTTTGCAATCTGAAGAGAATAGATCGTCCCTGGCCTTAAGTTTTTGAATTTGAATGCCGGATTGGTACATGGCCGACGATTGAATCCCTCGTGTAGAGAATTGCAAAAAGATTCCTTTTGGTAGAAAGGGTCTTTGTATTTGGAAAATCTTGTGGTCCCTCTAGATTCATAGAGGTAAGTTTTCACAGAAAATAATTATTTTTTCTTTGGTTTTGTCCTTTGGCTATAAATGTGCAGGGAAATATTTTTTGATTTTAGGGTCCAAGTTTAGGGCATATAAAAACCCCTATTCTGCGGGATTGAATGAGGTATATGATTCTGTGCCCGAAAATTTGATGTGAAACTGGATTCAAAGCATGGTCCGATTTGGAGGTTAGAACTTCCATTTTTGCTACTTGGTCTTGGGGTACCTAGCACAGCTTCAAAGTCAAAAGTCAAAGTCAAAAAATGCTTTATTGTCTAAGAACAAAATTCTCGTTGACAAAGCTGTAAAAGGGGAAAAAAAAAAACATTATACAAAAATAATTCCAGGGCCATAGAGTACCAAGATTGAAATAATCAAAATAAAAATACAATACAAGGTCAGACTAAAACAATAAAATCATTTAAACAGTCATTAAAACAAAAGATGAAGTCACTTTAAAAATCAACATAAATATAAACATAAATCAACATAAATACAAAAACATGTTCATTCTAAAATATAAAATACAAAATATCAAAATTGCACAAACGTAAAGTCAACAGACATAGAAGTCATTAAATAAAACTACAAATTATATTCAGACAGTCACAAGAAAGCATCTTGGAAAAATTCTTCTGTGCTATAGTAGGCCTTTGATAATAGAAGCCTCTTAAGATGTACTCTAAATTTTTTACCAGATACTATCTGTCTCAGATGCAGTGGCAAATGGTTAAAGATCTTTTTACTTTGATAGATTATCGAGTTTTTTGTTTGTGTGGAGGAAGGGATAGGAAGGTTCACATTGTGTGTTTGTCGAGTGGTATGTACAGATGAAAATTCGTGTATGTTTTCCTTAAACTTTTTATGAACGAGACATGAAGTCTCTAGTAAAAAAATACTAGGAAATGTAAGCAATTTATGACGCAAAAACAATGGTCTACATGAGTCTCGTAATCCTATCTTAAACATATACCTTACCGCCCTCTTTTGCAACACAAACAACATATTAAAGAGAGACAATGAACAAAAACCCCAGAAACATATTCCATACCGCAAATGGGATTCAACGAGAGCAAAGTATGCACTTTTTGTTGTCCCAAGATCTAGCTTACTCGATATTACTCTGATTGCATAACATCCTGATGACACCTTTTTGCTCATGTATGTTAAGTGAGGCTCAAATTTTAGTCTATCGTCTATGTATACTCCTAAAAACTTACTCGATTTTTGACTGGCAACAGTATCTGCCCCTAAGGTAATTCCCTCAAAACCACATTTAAATGTTAACACATTTGTCTTCGACACATTAAAAGTTAAACAATTCGCATCAGTCCATTCTTTTACCTTAACTAAATCATTATTGATATCCGATTTAAGCTGTTCTACATCCTTATTTACCCAGAGAATCGTGGCATCATCGGCAAACAGTGTAAATACCCCAACTATATCAATGCTAGACAGATCGTTGATGTACAATAAAAATAATAGAGGTCCCAAAACAGATCCTTGTGGAACCCCTGCACTTATAGCCAGTTGTTCTGAATCAACACCATCAAAAGTAACTCTCTGTGCCCGTTCAGAAAAGTAGGACTCAAACCACTTTAGAGCTACCCCCCTCACCCCATAGGCTTCCAGCTTACATAACATTATTTTATGATTGACACAGTCAAAAACCGCTGCTGCGACATCACCGTTATTTAATCCCAAATATAGTTTCTCCAAAAATGCGAAAATTGCATCATTTGTGCCACATGACTCCCGAAATCCAAACTGTTCACAACAGAGAATACTATGTTTTTTAAGAAAACACATTAAACGCGCCTTGACTAGTTTTTCTATTACTTTAGACATTGTAGGCAACAATGAGATTGGCCTAAAATTTGAGGGTGTATCGCAGTCACCACCCTTGTGAAGAGGTAAGACCCTTGCAAGTTTCAGACAGGAAGGGAAAATCCCTGATTGAAAGGACTGATTCACAGAATCAGCAAACACCTCTAGAACCGATTCGGGCAAATGCGAAAAGACCTTCAGCGTAATCTCATCCCATCCCGCAGAATTTTTATTTTTAATATCTTTTAAGGTGTCTCTGATTTCTTGTGTTGTAGTAGGTTTAAAGAAAAAAGACTCGGATACGCTTATGTGACTTAGATATTCTCTAGGGTTAGTCCCAGAACTAATTTTGCTAGAAAGAGAAGCCGCAATCGAACAATCAAATTTATTAATTTCCGTGGCAGTCAAATTTGAGTCCATTGGTGAAGTATTCTTTTTTCCTCTTAAGTTATTAACAATTCTCCATGATTTCTTTTGTTTGTTGCCAGCCATCTCTATCCTATTTCTAAAATATAATTGCTTAGCGGTTTTAATTACTTGCCTATATATTTTACGATATTTGTTGAAAAAAAGCATAAAACCATCATTCCCCAAATAAAACTTCCTAATGTAATACAAAGAACGCATATTTCTAGCCGATACTCTTATACCTTTTGTAATCCACAGTTTTTTACTCTTACACTTCCTGGTTCTAAGCGGAAAAGATCTATAAAAAACACTCAACAAAGCAGAATGCAACTCCGACAAAGAATTCTCACATCTACCAATCTCGGTCCAGTCTGTATGCTCGCAGAGTCTCAAAAATGTCTCAAAGTTACCTGTAGAGTAAAGTCGTTTGTACTCTTTTGGCAGTTTAACTGTGCCATAGTCACATTCCACCTCCAGTCCACACACAACCGCCTCATGATCGGAAAGACCCCCACCAACTGTTGAACAACTCACTCTCCCTTCATCAGAATTTGTACAAATATAATCCAACAATGTCGCTGAAGTCGCAGTAATTCTAGTGGGTTCCTTTACATGTACTTTTAAATTAATAGAGGAGAGTAAGCCATTCAAAGTCTGCACCGAAGCCGATCCTGTATCTAAAAAGTTAATATTCAAATCTCCTGTCAATATTATTAGGGCATTCAAAGGTAGGCTTGTTAAAAGTTTTTCCAATCTGGCAAAAAACGCATCAACATTGCTTGAAGGAGGTCTATAGATACACAAAACATAAAACAAAGGTCGCAAACAACACACAATTGAAAATTCGAATTCCTTTTCAATTATTAAACTATTATATCTATCTACATTGATTATTTTAAATACTTCAAACAATCTCTGCTGTACCATTATGAGTGTTCCACCATGCACTGCATCTGACCTACAATATTTAGATATTAAACTATACTGTTGCAAAAATATCTGCTCATCATCCCTTAACCAGTGCTCAGTGAGAAGAACAATGCCTGGGTAGTTTAAATCAGCTAAAAACAATTCCAATTCTGAAACTTTGTTTCTCAAAGATTGTATATTTAACAACACTAGGTCAAGTTTTTTACCACTTGACCCCTGTCTAAAAAAGGTGTATTGACTAGTGCATTGAGGCTTTTTGTTTGAATTTCAATATTACTATTATCCAAGTCTCCCTGCATACAATTACTGACATGACTATCCAAACTTTGGACATAAAAAGGAGAGGCACTACATTCAACGGTAATCGGAACCGATTTCAAAACTAATTTTCTACCAAGAACTGCACTAGTTTCACTATTCGTGGTACTACCCATAGAAAGGATCCTCCCAATATCAGCGATACTAGGGGATGTAGAATTTAAATTTAAACTTACAACAATTGTATCATTTTCAGTCAAATCAAATGATAATAAGAACATCCTTTCCACAAGACTTTTCATATTAAGTCCATTATAAACATACCCTTTTATCATGTGAGATGAATTCACAAGTTTAGACATAGTCGTGGACAGGGATCTTGCGCTGGAGTCTCCGCAAACAATGCATTTTCTGGGCACACAATAAGAAGCATTCGCCCGATGTCTCGCAGTTTCCATTTCTTTATCCAGGGTGATGCAGTCTTTCAACACACTGTTGTCATTTATCAGAGTAAATGAGTCATCTGCGGCAGTGGGTTCACAACACTTTGCAAGATCTTCTGAGGGTCTAGCTCCAATTAAAGACTGTTGATGCCCTATCATCTCCAAACTATCACACCTAGATTTAGTTGTTTTTAATTCCTCTTTAGCATGTAGTAGGTTTACTTTCGCACTCTTCAGCTCTTCTGAGTAGGATTTCTTTTCTTCTGAGAGCACTTGGATGGTGGTCAGCATATTCTTGTTGGTTTCAGTTATGTCCCCAAGATCCCCTTCAAGTCTACTGACAGTTAATCGACATTCCTTAAGCTGTTTATCTAAGTCCAAATTAACAGTGATAAGATTGGATACATTCTGATTAAGTTGAAACTGCTTATGGACAACTCTAAAGTTTAATAAAAATATCAGGAACTTGATTCTGGTTTGGGAAAAGCTCACTTCCAGAAAACTCTATATGGAGGTCAGGAGAACTCAGGCCTGTATACTTCATTTTTTATATTGATTGTTTCAATTAACTTATAAGTTGATAACACTGTATCTTTTGTTTTTTTGGTACACTAGTATACACATTTAAATTATAGTTTAAGCTATGCTCCGGCTTAGTTTAATTATTATTTTGGTACCGGTAATGACGTCATTGCGGATCATAAAATTTCTATACTCATTAGATTATAAAATATGAATTTTAAATAATTTAGAAAAAAGGTTGTTTTATTGTTCATGACCTGAACAATATATTTTTTATTACGCATGCATCATAATCAACGATTATCGCACGCTGCAGCGTGCATAAAATGATGTTTATGATGCGTCTACCTTTTCAAACGTTTGCTATAGAAACGTTCGATCTACCTTCATTACCTAGATATTTACCTGCATACCTGCCATTTAAATTACTACTTATCAAATTGAATGAACACTTTTAAAACATTTTTGAGATTATGATGCATTCGCACTCAACCAAATAGTAGCATAAATAAAAAGAAGTTGTTCTTTGATTTAATGAACAATTCATCAAAATCGGTCCAAAGAATGGCTTCTTTGATTACATGAACTCTACGTTAGTAAAGGAAGAACAATTTCTTAATTCAAAGTTTGATTCATCTTGTGTATGAACAACGGACATTGAAGTATGTGGCAAGGTTTTTGTATTAATGAAACTTTTCATAGTGACAATAAACATCGTTCTTAGTTTATATGTACTTTTTCATTGGCCTGATGAACAGACGGCATAATATTAATGAAGCCCAGATATAATTCGATGAAACCCTTTCATTGTATTTATGAATCAAAGTCTTGAATACTAAGAATTTCATTCATTGTATTTATTAATGACGTTTTCAATAATATGTACCCTATTCTTTATTTTTATTGAAATAATTTCATGAATTATGCCTTAAATATACTTATGATTTTAAATAGGGTACAGGGTCATTTTTTAACACGCTTATATTAGCTTCACCTGTATGTATGTATGTATGTTTGTATGTATATATATATGTATGTTTGTAAGTAACATTGAAAGTGTTTATCGCACGGGCACATAGGAATGCGCGCGAACTTTTGGACCTTTGGGAAGTGTATGAACAAGAACCTGGAACAAGCCTAGATAGATATGGATAAAACCTGGAAAATGTCTGGAAATCTCTGGAAACGTCTGGAAAGAGCCTGGAAATTTCTGGAAAGGGTCGGAAAAATTCTGCCAGTTCTGCCAGAGGTCCCAAATGACCTGGGGATCATTTTCCAGAATCCGGATCAGTCTGTACAAGTCTGGATAAGATCTGGATAAATCTGGATAGAGTCTGTAAAACTCTGGATAAGTCTGGATATTGTCTGTCAAAGTCTAGAAAACTTTGGAAACGTCTGGAAAAGACTTGGAAATTTCTGGAAAGGGTCGGAAAAATTCTGGAAAAGGTCCCAATAGACCTGGGGATCATTTTCTAGAATCCGGATCAGTCTGGAAAAGTCTGGATAAATCTGGATGAAGTCTGGAAAACTCTGGAAAGCTCTGGATAAGTCTGGATAATGTCTGGAAAAGTCTGAAAACGTCTGGAAAAGTCTGGAAACGTCTGGAAAAGGCCTGGAAACTTCTTGAAAAAGTCGGGAAAATTCTGGAAAAGGTCGCAAAAGACCTTGGGATCATTTTCTAGAATTTGGAGCAGTCTGTACAGGGTGGGCCAATTTGGACACTTCCTTATGGAAACACCCTTTATTTTTAGAGATAGAAAAAAATGAACCCCCCACTCTGAGGCTCAAATTTCATGAAATTTTGATTGGTGCAAACCGCTTTTTGATATCTTCAACCGTTTAGCCGCTAGAGGGCGATTCTCGATTTTGAGCAATATTGTGAACCCTTCATAACTTTTTTGTTTATGAAAATAATTGATTTCCGTAAAAACTTTCTGGAACCACTTTTTAAAACAGAATTCAGGGACGTTCTCGGTTTTTTTCTATTTGGCGCCGATTTTGAGATATTGACCAAAGTCTGATTTTTTTCAATGGGACACCCTTTATATTAATAACTCATTGCAAAGCTATGATTTTTCTGATTTTAATGATATAAAGTTCGATAGGGGTATCTCTAACCATTTTCGAGAAAAAAAATAATTTCGGTTTTTCTCATAAGAAGCGATGTTGCGACTTACAAAACACTCCGCTGCGCGTCGTGTTTTGAAATATGTCGCGCGTGCTTTAAATGCCCTCTTATACACTTATATCATAATATACTATTTTCTCTAGGTCTGTTACCTACATATTTATTTAATGTACAGGAAATACTTTTAACCATTGTTGGTTAATGTACTATGATTTTGTTTTTCATACTGTTTTTAGCATTCAATAACTTTTAGAAATTTTCCTAGTTGAGTCATAATTAACTAGGTGGCGCCGACATTAATTTATTTCAGTGGATAGTACTCAGTACCTACGAACCCTAGCTCTCTACTAATAGCTGGCTGCCGTGCTTTGTCCTAATCTGTGCTTTGTTTGACATAATTGGCACAAACAATGAACAGTAGGGTACAAACTAGGAATTTCACAGTTGTAAATTTTTTGGTAAGGTATTTTTACTTCGCCGTTTTGTATGTCCGTTTTAATTTCGCTACTTTAGAACAGCGAGGTGATATTGTAATATTATGTATCTCCGGTCGTGTTTTATGGAAAAGTAATTTGATTCGTGTATGAGGCGTATCAAGGAAACCGTTGTTATAGTCGATCCTAGCTTGCAACAATTTGAAAGTATCAAGTCCTATTAAGCCATCAAATACGTTGTGAAATTTGAAAAAATAAAATTTTAATTTTTTGGATCCTTGTAAGTTGAAAATTCGCGATGCTGAGATCGTCGCACTAAATTGATGAGATGATTGTTGAAATACTGTTGATACTATGAACGGATCGTATGATATGATTGGGAAAATATTTTTGGGCCAGGTCGGGGTCAATGAATGATTTCGTGGACCCACTATCGATTAAAAATTTCAAGTTATTTTCTGGGAATGTTATATACTATAACTCGCTGGTGTTTATAACTCGCTGGTGTTTGTATTATTATAGGATATTATTTGTGGCTCTAGGTTCCTTGGTTCTGTAGGCAAGTATTGGGAAAATTCTGATCATTTTGGGGTGATTGCACGTCGTCATTTTTGTGGGTAATAGTTATTATATTGAGGAGGGTCATAATTTTCAGTGTATGTTTCATCATTATTGATTTGGTAGGTACACAAAGTACGAATTTAGCTCATCCACAGTGTCTGTGTTGTGGAGTTCCTCGAATGTAAAATTTGGTGGTTTATTAGAGCGCGATTGGAAATAATTATAGCGTGGTTGGTTGGAATTAGGATATTGAAGTGGTGCTCCTTGGCGTTGGTTTTGGCAGCGGTTGGTTTGGATCTGATTTAAAGGCATTTACTTGGAGCCTTTTCCCAAACACCTGCGAATTGGTTGGGAATTTTTGCTGAGTTTTATTGTTATAGTCCGGTCTAACGAAGATTGGTTGTGATGGGAATGCGTTCTTATTTTGAAAGTGTGTGTATTGAGCAGGGGTATTGAAATTTTGTGTTTTTGATTGGTGTGCGTATTGAGCAGATGTATTGAAATTTTGCGTTTTTGGCTTATTTTGAAAATATTGAGTGTTACTTTCTTGCGTAACAAACTGTAAGGCTTCAGGCAAAACTTTTGGCCTCATGCAATGACTCGTTGTGCCTAATGGCTCTTTGAGTCCAGATAAAAATGTTTTCAGAGCAAGATTATTATAAAGGGTTCTTTTAAGAATTTTTGCATTATCATCTACTTCGTGTAAATCTACGTAAGAACATAACAAATTCAAAATGTGTAAAATTTGGTCGTTGTACTGATTAGGGTTTTCGTTATTATTTTGCCTAAGCATAACGAGGTCTCTATTAAGGCAAGCCTCATCTCTTTGGTCAGCAACATGCCTACCCAAGTGAGTTTCAATTCATTCCAACTATTAACATTTTGGGTACCAAGAGCAAGTTTAGCGTTACCCATCAATTTTCCTATAATACAATTCAACAAATAAACATTTTGAAAGTGGTTTGGCTCATTGACATTGTAAAAGATGTCAATAATACTCTGACAAACTGCCATATATCTGTTTAGGTCATTTGGATTGCCGTCAAAGGTCGGCACACAATTTAAATATTCAGGTCTAAATGAAATAGCCATTATTGATATATTACTGTTTACAGAGTTTTGTTGATTATTGTCAATTATCGATTCTACTCTACCTTCAGCACTATTTTCTGTATAATTTAAAGCTTGATTGATTATTCTAATTACTTCTTCAGATTGAGAAGCAGAGTCAGTTGTAGGTAATAAATTATCTATTCGCAAATTTGAGTTACTTAATTGATCAATAATATCATCAATATTGGACATGAATACAATCAATTGCACTACTTACGCGCTCAGTCTGATGAATATCTTCATTATAAGCCAAAGAGTCTTGGTTAGCGATGCCGGTCCTTCCAAAGACTGCTTGATCTTGCGAGAAATGACGATGATGTTCAAATCTCCACTTATTATAACATATAAGATAAAAGTTTTTTGGCAAACGATTTTTCTCACACAAACGTCTTTGTCCTCGCGAAAATTGGCGATTTAGTCCAATTTCCCGCACTGGTGTTTTGGTAGTGTTTACGATGAACTCTGATAACCGATGTTAGATTATTAGCCACTATCCAAACAGCAAACAAACTTAGAGCTAGTCCTAATTTTTCGCATTAACGGTTCAAATTCTTGCCGAAACCGAACCGAAAAGTACCGAAAAATATCTGCACGACTGTGCCAGTTAACAAGTCGATAGCCCAGAATTACTTTTCAATATAACTTTATTTGAACTTGCTAACAATATTTGGATAAAAAATA